ACAAAAAAGCAAGATTATAAAAGCAAAAGAAAAATGGAAATGGTTAAGTACCAAGTTCTAAGTTTCCATTCCCTTAACTTTTACGTGTACCGAGAGTTCCGTACCCACGCCCCCATGTGTACCAATGGTGATGTTCCACATAGTAGCTCTTCATAATTGGAAACTGGCATGAAATAGCCTTAGTTGTCACATCTTTTAAATGCTGCACTGCATTTATTAAGGAAGCAAGTGGGATACAAACAGATTATGAAACATATCTTTTGAGATTTGATTTTTAAAATTTGAAATTATGATGGGTGAGCTCATAAATCGACTACAGAGCATAACCTCTAAAACCTACTTTTCGAATTCTAATATTCTTTCTAATATTCACCAATGGGTGAGCTCACAAACCTCACATCTAGGAAACAAAACCCAAGAAGAGGTCAACTTGTAAACTAGAGTTCGTAAGCTCATCCCACAAAATTATGAGAAAATGTTAGCTCGCAAATAAGAGCTTGTAAGCTCAACTCATTAATTTAGGAAAGAAATTCATTGTGAGCGAGCTTATCACCAAATTGCTTGTTACGATCTACTTAATTTTGTACTTAGCTCGTCAAAAATTAGTTTACTAGCTGGCTCATCAAAACCAATGTTGGGCCGACGTAATTACCGTAATGGTTTGTAAATCGAACGTTAAAGGGGGAGTAATGTTGGGGGACTAGCCTAACATTAATGATGAAGCCAAAAAAATATATAAGGCCTAAAAGTTTAGGCACGATAATCATGGCAGACCCATATGACTAAAACAAGTGTACCAATAAAGCAATGACATGTGGCAAGATTGTCATAAATGGGGGCCTATAAATACCCCTAACTACCTCCACACAAGGTAATAACTCTACTACGTTTTTCTGTTAACTCTTCGTTAAAGTGAGAATAAAATATTTATATGATCAATTCTCAAACATTAAAAATGTAACAATTCAGTTCCAAAAGTTTAAAAATTAAAAAATTAGTAAATTAAAAATAATTAACAAATGACTTTGTTACATACACGAAACTAGTATTAAATATTTATAATCAAATTGAGTGATTAGGATAATCTAAAAAAAGAAATCTAATTGAGATTAAAGAAAATTTCTTAGTTGTATTCCTTTAGTCTCTTGGATTTTCTATTTTAGAAATTTTCTTTAATCTCAGTCAGAATTCTTTTTTCAAATTGAGCTTATCGCTTGATTATAAATATTTAATATTGTTCTAGTGTATATAAGAAAGTCATGTATTAATTTTTTTTAATTTACTAATTTTTTTAACTTTTAAACTTTTGAAACTAAATTGTTATATTTTTAATTTTTGATGATTGATCATATAAATATTTTATTCTCATTTTAACGGAGAGTTAACTGATTCCATTAATTTAAGGGTTAAACTTTTTAAATCTTTAAGTTTAAGGGTTAAAAACTTCATAATATAAGGTAAGGGACTAAAAACTTCAAATTTAATAAAGCAAGGGATCAAACACATAGTTTAGCTGGAAAAATTTAGGCGGAGAGAGAAACAATCAAAAAAATAAATAGACCAAACATATCAACAAAAAATGGTTTGAGGACACATGAGGAGAACTTTTTTAGGATCACAACATATTTGGCTGAGTTATGAATAGACCAGGAATGGGCATGGCCCTTGATCTTTTGAAAAATTTTAAAATTAATCCACAATTTTTCATTATGAAATTTCAATTCTTTATTTTTATTTTATTCACATTATTATGTTAATTTTTATGAAATTAATCACTATCAGTTTTTTTTCTTTAATGTTGTTATTAAATTTAATATTAATTGTTGACTTAACAATAATTTGTAATATTTTTAGCCAAACATTTAATAAGAAAATTTAAACTTTCAATGTGACCTCAATTATAGTTGTTTTGTCAGTTGTTTTCTTAACACTACCACTCTAGTTTTCTCACTTGATAACTTGCATAATTCACCAAATTTAATGTTACATAGAATCCTTTCAGTAGAAGATCAAGACCAACTCCCAAATTTGAACTCGTACTCGTACTAGTCTCAAAAAATAGAAAAGAAAGGTATTGAATAATATAAGTGTGGTTTTTGCTTTTTAATTTTATTTTTATAAATTTTGTAATTTAAAAAAATGGTTTTTCTATTTTGTGTCTTTAAAACACAAGATAAGAGTATATTTTTATTATATATTTTTTTGTCATTAATGCACATAATAAAACTAAAAGTTGATATTAATTTTACCAATTATTCAATAAAAAATATTTGTGTCATAGGTGTTAAAATTAATGTTAACTTTTTTATCTTTTCATGTAAATTAATAAATGATTAATGATAAAAAGATACAATAAATGTACCTTTATAAGTTATAAGATAGAAAACCCCTTAAAAATAAAACCTTATTTACTTGCATATATTTTTGTAATATACTTTTTTTTATTTAATGTAATATACTTTGTTGATTATTGGATAAATAAGAAAAAAAAACAATTTTAATATTATTAAACAAATTTATATTTTTTATTGTTAGTGTTAAAACTCTTCTTGAACAAATCTTTAGACTCTGTTTAGAATTGTTGTGGTTTGAGATTTTAGTTTTGGTTTTTTATATATTTCACAATTCTACACAAAAATATTCGTTTACTTTTATATATATTAATGTGAAATTTCTAACGTGATATTATTAATATTTGGATGAATTTTATGAGATTTTACATGGGTTTTTATTCTTTATACAGAAAAGGACTTGAATGCATAAAAATAAGAGTTTTTGGGATTAATTGAACATCTTTCAAAAGTTGAGGGATTGAATTGCAAGAAGAAGGGCACCTCTTTGGGACTTAAATGAATGAATCTTGAGTTTGGCATCTAAGTGCTCATTGTACGAAAGATGGAGGACCAGATCTGCCATTTTACCATTGAAGAAATTGCAAAGAGAGACCCAAAACTCAACACGAGTGTAGTGTTGACACATAATCGGGGTATCGACACTACACGTTAAGTGTCCAAAATTAGACTTTCTGTTTCCTGTCAACATGTAATTCGGGGTGTCAGCACCATGCGTTCAAGGTCCAAAATTCAGAGTTTCCTATTCTATTCCAAGTCCTACTTCTATTCCAAATAGGGTTTCTAAAATCCTCTAACTACCCATCCAAAATCAAAATTGAAAGAGTTTTGGGAGGTTGGTGACAACCCTCTTTTGAGCATTCTTGGAGGTCAAGATAGAGAATCCATCAACATAATATTAATGATTTCAATTTCCTCAAATTAAGTTTTGTTTTTCCTTAAATATTCTTACATACATAACTGTGATTTCAGATTTTATTATTTTTAATATGAATTAATTTATTTTATTAAGGCTATGATGTAGTCTAATTAATTTAATATAGATTTTGTGATTTTTATATTTTCAATTAAAGTTATTTGTATGAGGAGTTTATATTTTTGAATTTAATGCATTGGAAGCCTAATCATCTTTCAATTGATTTAGCAATTTATGCATGAACTTGAGAAAAAAATTACGTAAATTAGACCAATAATAATATAAATCATGTGTTAGACTATAAGATCGAGAGATAATTAGCTCACATGTGATAGTGGAGGAAGAGAAGAGAGTTAAGAGCTCCCTCTTCTTAAGCTAGAGGTTTTCATAAAATTTAATACTCATTAGTTTGTTTAAAATTATATAAAGATATGATTAATTTAATAAACAAGTGAATAATTAACTTGACTTGAAAAAAATAATTAATTAATTTAGAGAAATTCACCATCATATGCAATTACACTCAACAATTTGGTAATCTAGAATTTATATTGAATGATTATGGTGAAATTGATGCCTTAATACCTGATATCTTGATTAACTTTATTTTAATTGTTATTTTCTTTTTATTATTTTTTTAAAAGGTTATTCTCTTTTTGATTATTCAAATAAATATATATTAATTATTTTGGTACTTAATTAGATACAATCCTCATGGGTTTGACACTATTCATCATTATATTACTTTAAATGACTAGTACACTTGTTAAAGTAATTTTAGTGCATCAATATATTTTTGTAATATATTATTATGATTATTTGAGAAATAAGAAACAAAATAATTTTGATATTATTAAACAAAAATTTATAGTTTTCGTTGTTAGCATTACAACTCCCCTTGAACAAATTTTTAGACTCTATTTGGTATTGTTGTGATTTGAGATTTTAGTTTTGGCTTTTATAAATTTTACAATTTTAAACAAAAAAATTTTGTGTACTTTCATATATTTTTGTAATATATTATTATGATTACTCAAGAAATAAGAATAAAAAAAAATTAATACTATTAAATAAGTTTATATTTTTTTTTTTTTGTTGATGGTGTTAAAACTTGTTTTAAGCAATTTGTTAAGTTTTTATTTTTTGTTCGGTTAAACCCCAATTTGGTCCCTAAATTATTGTAAGACCCGAATTTGATCCTTGAACTAAAAAAATCTTTGATTTGGTCCCTGAACTATTGTATGAACCTTCAATTCAATCCATACTGTTTACTGATTTAGCCCCAAATTGGTCATTTTATACAAAAAACAACTAACGTATCCATTACTTAATAACGAAAAACAATTATTTAATGACTATGTGTTACATTAATAACAAGACATATTACCTGTTTTTTGTATGAAATAACCAACTTGAGTCAAATAAATAAATAGTAAGGACCAATCGGAGGTCCGTACAATAATTTAAAGACCAAATTAGAGATTTTTTTAGTTCATGAACTAAATCGAAGGTCCATACAATAATTGAAGGACCAAATTGGAGATTCAATACTTTTGTTTTGGATTTCAATAGTTGAAAATTTTATAAAAACCAAAAATTAAAAAGCCAAGTATGTTCTAAATGGAGTATTAGGCTTGGTTTGTGAGTGTCAAGTTATAATTGTAACCATAGGTTTTTAGTCTTTTAATATTCAAAAAAATACAAAATATATTTAATACATTTAATATTTCTTTTAATTAATATTTTATATATTTTTCGAATACTAAAAGATATATAACCTAAAAGTTAAATCAATGAAAAATTGCAAAGTTCACAAAAACCAAAACAAAATTTCTCACACCCCAGAACTCAAATCCGGAGACGTGGCAGACGCCGTACACTTGTGAGATGGGTCCCACAAATGCAAAAGGCTCGGAACTTAATCATACACAAAATCTCAAGAATAAAATCTATCTTACAAAAAAATGATAAAATCTAAAACTTATATTCGATTAGAAATTGCTAGCCTTCTACCTCGTCACTCCCCTTGGTTTCCCCATCCTTGGGTTTGCTTCCTGAAATGGTGGATAAAGAAAACTATGAGAAAAAATATCTCAGTAAGTAAATGTATAGATAGCCCATGGGTAAAATTTAAGCATGCTAGATAAACCATGTAAACATAATGGAACATTCAATGATAAACCAGGTAAACATAACAGAGCATTCGATGATAAACCATTCATGCAGAATAAAACTCAGTAGTAGTCTCATCTATAAGTCATGGCCAGTGTTTAACAAACTCCCATTGGTAGGCGTCAGTGATGGTACCAGTGTTTAACAACTCCCACTAGCAGACGTCAATAATAGTACCAGTGTTTAACAACTCCCACTGGTAAGCGTCAGTAATAGCCAATGTTTAACCCCATTGGCAGGATGAACCGGTTCTACAAAAATACATGTCAACATGTGCTAGTGTTTGCAAACTCCCACTAGCGGGCGTCAGTAATCATAACTATATCAGAGACAAAACCATGCAAAATTTACAGAAAATCCATAATTCACCATTAATCTCAATTTCAAGAATAAACCGGAAAATTTCATGTGGGCATGCTCAATTCCAGAAAAACAATGAAATTCTCATTTTCATTCCAATCATGCTCAATTCCAGAAAATAATAATTTTCATAAAAATCATCACAATTTTCATTTCAGTTTAATCACACTTAGATGCTGATAAAATCAATTTAAATCCTGCCACATCTCAAAAACAGTTTAAAATATGCTTTAAAATCAAAAGGCTTTACCATAAATTTACTTACTCACTCTCATAAAACCGAAGACTCAATCCCAGAGCTCTAAGCCACAATGGCACCTAAATTTCCAAATAAATATGCTCAGACCTTGCTAGGAATACCAGTACAAAATAGCAATTCACGCATGAACAGTACTCATGAACAGTAACTGTAACTTATGAGCAAAATGGTCACAGACCCTTTTTAAACCCGAGAGTCAAATCAACAGATCAATCCAAAATTTCACTCAAAAGCTCCTAAATTACATTTATCCATCAACAAAGAAAACCCAATTTGGGTTTCTACTTCCACGGACAGAAAAAATGGAGGAACAGGACTTGTATTCAATCAATTGTCTTTTGCAAAATAATACTTAAGACACGGGATTTCCTCCAGAAAATTCACAGCAGCCAAATCAAGCAATTTATACTTAAACCACACTTAAAAACATAGCTTAAAGCTGTCGAAATTCATTCCCCTATTTCAGCAAAATTTCCAAATAGTACAGGGCAATTCAAAAGCAGAAAATCCAAACAACACAAGGCAGCAACTACATGGATAAATTGGACTTGGAAGAGCCGGCAACTTACCAGAATTTTTCGGCAAGCAAAAGCCGGATCCGGCGAACATGGAAGCTGACGGGATTTTGGAGGGGATTTCACGGAACTACCAAAATTCAAGAACCAAAAATCGAAATTAGAGTAACCCAAGCCAAATCAAAGCTAAAAGAGTAATCCATGGCTATCCCCTTACCAGAAAACCGAACTCAACCCCACGCAGCAGAGGCCGGCGGACAAAGGGGAAGAAGACAGCGCAGATCTAGAAAATTTCTGGGTTTAGAAGAGTGTTCTAGGCCTGAAACTTGGTTTTTGAGCAAGAAGGAAAGGGAAATTTCAAACCTTTCATCGGTTCTCAAAAGAAGAGGAAGTCGGTGGCTTTGGGGGGGTCTGGTCGGGGAGCAGAAGAAGAAGAGTAGGTCGCAGGTCTGATGAGGAAGAAAAGAAAGAAGGAAAAAGGAAAGAGAAAAAGCAGCTGATCCTTATCCTAATTTCTTTTCTTTTAAGTCTCTGAACTTTCAGAATTTCTATTATTAAGGCCATTGACAATATTTCTCTCAAAATAAGTCCCTTAACTTAATTGATAAAATTCCCAAAAAATTGGGATATTACAAAATTTGAAAACCATAACTATACCAAATGGGGTCTAACTAATCAATTGAAAATACATATATTTTTTTATTAATATTTGGAGTCTTGTAATTAAGATGGAATTATTATTACATTCATTTTTTTTATTTCCTCCATTTTAAAATAATTGTTTTTTTTTTACTTTTAATTTGTTTTAAATTAATTGTCATTTTTTTATTTTTCAAAGTAGACAGATATTTTTTTCTTATTTTAACTTATCATTATTTATTCACTTTAATTAATCATTCACTTTAACTTTAATTTGTTGTTGCATAGCTCTGATACTTTTATGAATGATGGGAATCAAGACAACAACAACATATCTACTACGTCATGTGATCCGTTACACAGCTGAGGAGGTCCAGTCACGCGAGCTAGGGCTAAGAAGATGCGTGAAGCTTTAAATGGCCTTATTGAGCAGATCTGGGTTGAAAACAACATACAACAAGCAAATCGAAGCTTGGATGATTATCAAGGCATGGTAAACATCATTCAGGTTCAAGAGAAGCTTAGTTAAGGTCATTTGCATGGAATTACATAGTTTGCGTCAAAATCGCACAATTCTGCCACAACTTGTAGCAAACCGATATTTCGTGTTATTTTAGATTATTTTTAGTGATTGTCACGTTTTTTTGTATTATTTTTGGGCTGAACATTTGCTTTTTTGAAGCCCAATTTGTGGTTATTAGGTTTAGGCCTTAGGGTGTTAATTTCCTATTCTGATTAGGATTTGTTTTCTCTATTTAAAGGGCTTGTAACCCTAATGGGGGGAGAATTATTGAATCTGAGATTTTGAGAGACTTTTCTCTTTGGTTCGTTTCAGAACTTTACAGAACTTATCAAGATAATTCTTGTGGTGTTCTAGCCTGACTTATCATTCTCGTTCTTTCGAGGGTGTGGCGTCAACCAACTTTATACCTCTGGTTCTTGTTGCGTCATAGACAACGGGTCAAGGTTCTTACCTTTGGTTCTTGTTACAACATAAACAACGGATCAAGGTCTTATTATAAACCTGATTTAGCTTTCCTGGAGTTTAGAAATCCCTTGTCATGCTGTGGGTCTCATTGTTCTCTTTGGGGTTCTCATCAGGGCCCAACATTCGATCTAGGCCACGTACAGTAAGCCCATTCATTTCTCACTGAGCTCAAAATGAGAATGCCCATACACTAGTCCAAGCATACCCACATGGGTGTGAACTCGTGGACCAATCAAATGTTGGCGCCAATGGCCTATTGTCATCACCCGAGGGCTATAAATACCCCCACCTACCTCTGTTTAAGGTAATAACTCCGCTACGTTTCCCTTTCTGCAATTCCTCCTGATAGCTTCTTTCTCTAGAATATTGAATATTGCTAACTTGAGCGTCGCAGTGTCTTCTCCGAGGAAACATCCTTGGGTTTTTTAGGTGTTGAAGCAGTTGAAGATCTCTATAGTGTAGGTTTGTAAAGCTGCCCAAACATTTGGCGCCGTCTGTGGGAATTAAGCAAAAATTAATGTAGCTAGTGTTGAAGCTAAACATGGTGCGCACTTTTACTAGGAACTGCCCCCCCTTAGAGGAATGGGATGGATGATCAGGATGACACCCAACTTTCTGAGCTCGGCTTGAGTGATTTTAGGCCAATGCCGAGAAACCACTTTGTAGAAGGGGCAGAAGGAGAATCGTTGAGCGGTTTGGATGATGAAAGAACACCAACCGAGTATGCCACCCAACGTGAAGAGCAGTTCCAGATTTCAACGGGAGCTAGGCGAAGGCACCTCTTACATACCACCTCCCGACGTGAAGGTCCCATGGAGTCTATTTGGACGTCCAAGTTGGAAGAAAGAACTAGGGTCCTAGAAACTGCTATGGGGAGAATACTCTCCCGCCTGATCCCTCTGTTGAATAGGGGAGAGTAGTCTATAGAAATTACAACTCATAATTCCCCAGCCCTAAGCAATGTAGTAGTGTCGACCAAACCAAGGGGAGATGGGAAGTCAAACCCCGAGCCTAGCTCGTCAAAACACAATGAGGAGTTGACGAGGAAGAATGTAGACTTCAAAAGGTAACTTAAAGATGTACAAAAGTCTATTGACGAGCTAAGAAGCCCGAGGTCACGCTAACAAGCTTTCGATTTAGATAGCGTACCTCTCAACCTATCCATTACAGTAGAACCGTATCAAGAGGGGTTCAAGATCCCTTACTTGGAAACATACGATGGCTCTGGTGACCCAGATGAACATTTGCATACCTATTAGGCCATCATGAAAATTCAGAATGCTATTAAAGCCATGATGTGTAAATTATTCCTTGCAACCTTAAAGTCGACCACCAAAAGATGGTATCACAAGCTTCCCAGGCATTCCATAGCTTCCTACTCCCAGCTCACTACTTTGTTTTTTAACAAATTCATGAGCCAACAAGAAATAAAACGAACTGTTACCAAGCTTATGCAGGTTCATCAAAAAGAAGGAAAGTCCTTGAGAGATTACATATAGAGATTCAACAAGGCCACCTTAGATATCGACAATGTCCTTGACACTATCTGTTTATTTGCCTTACTACATGGCCTCAAACCTGGTCGGTTCTTAGATGACCTACTAGAAAATCCACAAAAGTCATGGAATGAAGTAAATGACAGGTCGGCCAGCTTCATCTTATCAAAAGATTTTCAATCATCTAAATGACGAGCCAATGATAAACAAAACAAAGACCACAAACACCCAGAAGGAAAGGAGGAGAAGAAAAAGCAAAAATTTGTTGATCATAGAGGAAAACCACCTAGTTTTCAAAAATATGCAAATTACATCCTGTTGAGCTCATCAAGGTCTCAAATCTTGGCACAAATTCAACACTGGATTAAAAGGCCACCGCCTATTCTTCATGACTCACCTCGATCAAACAGGAGTAAATATTGTGATTACCATCGTGGATATGGCCATAGTACAAATGACTGCCAAAGTTTAAAAGACGAGTTGGAGTTTTTAGCTCGTAATGGGAAGCCAGAAGAACATATCCAGAAATCCTATACCCATTAGCCTAGCCAAAGCCACTATGTACAAGATTACAGTCAACCTTGTGGACAGGGGTACCAGGTCGACAATAATTAGAACTCGTACCAAGGGAATCAATACTCTTTTGAACTCGATAAAGTATATAAAAGACGTCAATCCAATAGACGAGGAGAGGGATAGAGAATTATGGCCCAGCACCAAAAAGACAATAAGGGGTAGGTTACACCAGAACACCTCCACCCTTAAGCATGATAAATATGATATCTGGTGGCTTGCACTCAGTGGGCTAGAGTGCCCATGGTCGTAAAGCTTATGCTCGCCAAGTAATGACGATAAACAAGAATAGACCCTTGAAACGACCATTTGAAAAGGCGGAGTGGGAGAATGCGCCAATCACATTCAGTCAAGTAGACTACAAAAGGTTAGAGGGAGAACTTGACATTATCATGCCTCATGTTAATCCATTTGTGGCAACCGTCCACATAGGCAACCATAATGTTAACAAAGTCTTCATTGATACAAGCAATTCCCCATACATTTTGTATTGGAGTTGTTTCCAGAAGATGTAGTTGAATCAAGCTTCTTTGAAGAAATATGAAGGGCTTATATATCGGTTTGACAATCAACCCGTCCCTATTGAGGGGGTGATCACTTTTACCATCTATGTGGGTATCGAGTTGCAGTTAAAGATGGCATCAGTAAGCTTCTTGGTAGTCAAGATGGAATTAGCTTTCAATGCTATAATTGGAAGAGCCATGCTTTGTGAGCTAAAAGTTGTCATTTCCCGACCACATCTCTACATTAAGTTCCCAACTCCTTATGAGATAAGAGTGCTTAAGGGAAACTAGAAAATGGCTAGAACATGTTATCAGGATATGTTCAAGAAGGTCAACCTCGCAACAACACCCAACGCCACTACTTCTCAAGTCTCCAAGCCGAATCAGCTAGGCTTGCAAACGATGAGCGTTTCTGACATAGATCATCGACCTGAGAATGTAGAACAGAAGACCAAGCCAGTGGAGCTGGTGAAGATAGTTCCTTTGAACCCTGATGAACCAAAAAAGACGATAAAAATTGGAATTAAGCTCACACCGAAGGAAAGAGTTGAGCTATTAGAATTTCTAAAATCCAACTAAGATATCTTTACGTGGACAACAGATGAAATGCCTAGAATTCCAACAAAACTTGCAATCCACCGGCTCAGCATAGATCCTACAAGGAAGCTAGTGGTTAAGAAATGCCGACTTTTTTGCCCTTAAAAGCAAGCTGCTATAGACGAGGACATAGAGAAGCTATTGCAAGTAGGCTTCATCAGACGGGTTGAATATTCTCAATGGGTATCCAACCTTGTGCTAGTTAAAAAGTCTAACAGCAAATGGAGGATGTGCATTGACTTCACAAACTTGAATGAGGCATGTCCTAAAGACCTTCACCCATTGCCTAATGTTGAGAATTTGGTAAAGCATGCAACTGGTCATGAGCGCATGAGTTTCCTAGATGCTAGTTCAAGATACCATCAAGTTTAGCTATGGTTGGACGACCAGGAGAAAACAACATTTTATGCAAGGGATGTTATATATTGCTACGTCATGATGCCGTTTGGATTGAAAAATGTAGGGGCCACACATCAGAAATTAGTTCAAGTCATCTTTAAGCTTCAGATCGGAAAAAATATTGAAGTTTTTGTAGACAATATGATTGTCACCAGTTTACGAGTTGAAGATCATATTGACGACCTCAACGAAACATTTCAAAACCTACATAGAGCATAGATGAAGTTAATCCCATTGAAGTGTACGTTTGTTATTGAATTAGGCAAATTTCTAGGACATGTGGTATCCAAGAATGGAATCGAGGTAAATCCAGAGAAGGTTTAGGTCGTGCAACAAATGGAACCCCCTAAAACAGTAAAAGATGTACAACGCCTGATAGGTCGCCTCGTTGCTTTGCACCGATTCATCGCCAAGTCAATCAAAAATGTCTTTCGTTTTTCAAAACTTTGAGAGAACCCAAAACCTTCCAATGGACTGACAAATGCCAACAGGCTTTTGATGAACTCAAACAATACTTGGCATCACCCTTGCCCTCCAAACCTGTTGAAAGAGAAAAGCTATACTTGTATTTGGGGATTGATTACACACGAGACAATCAGCTCGGTTTTGTTTAGGGAGCAAAACAAGCACCAAAAACCCATCTGTTACATAAGCAAAGTATTGTAAGGTGTAGAACAGAATTACCTGCTAGCAAAGAAGGCGACTTTCGCCCTTGTTTACACCGCTTGGAAGTTAAGGGCCTACTTCTAGTCTCACAAGATCGTTGTTTTCACCGACCTATCGTTGTAAAAAATATTATAGAAGCCCGAGCTATCTAGCCGACTAATTGGATGGGCGGTTGAGCTGAGCGAGTATGACCTCAAATTTGAATCACGTATGACCATTAAGGGCCAAGCTTTAGCTGATTTCCTAGTGGAATGTCATTCAGGGGTTGTCGAGGGAATTACAACCTCACACCCTGTATGGGCGTTGTACATAGATGAGGCTGCAAACGCTGAGGGATCAAGGGCAGAAGTAGTGTTGATAGGCCCAGATGGTTTTAAAACTGAGCATGCTTTGAGATTCAAATTTCAGGCAACCAATAATGCTGCTGAATATGAAGCACTCATTTATGATTTGAAGGTAGCATCGGAGCTAATGGCACAAAACATAAGAGTCTTTAATGACTCCTAACTCGTTGTAAATTAAGTGAACAGGAGCTATGATATCAAAGACCCTCAGCTCATTCACTACGCCATTGTGGTCAACAAGTTGAAGTCAGATCTTGTTTCGTTTCAGATTGACAAAATATCAAGGGCGGACAATAAGCAAGTTGATGAATTGTCGAAGTTGGTCTCGTCACAAGATATTAATCCCTAAAGGACAACATTCATTAAGATACTTGATGCACCGAGCTATGCCAACCCCGGTACTAAATGTCAAGTATTAAGCACAAATCCCTCATCGCCAAGCTGGACAACACCTTTGATTAATTATTTACGAAATGGTGAATTGCCTAAAGACCCTTCTAATGCTAGACTGATTAGGTGCATGGCGGCCCATTTCACCTTAATTGATGATTAGTTGTATAAACGAGTAGCATCAATGCCCTTATTACATTGCCTCACTCCTTACGAAGCTAAGTATGCTATAAGAGAAGTTCATGAAGGAGTGTGTGGCACATACATAGGTGGTAAAACATTAGCTTGGAAACTTCTAAGGCATGGATATTACTAGCCTACTATGGTAGTAGATGCACAAAACTATGTCAAAAAGTGTCCAACCTGCCAGTTTAACGCTGACAACATTCACATGCCAAGTACCCAAGCTCGTCCAAAAATTTATACATAAACTTCATGTTTGTCTCTAAGTGAAACATGAATACCTCCTTTGATACAGGAGAAATGTTTTCATCTCTCTTGTCGCCTTAGCCTTTTGCCTAATGGTGAGTGGATTTGGTCGGTCTTTTGTTAAAGGCAAATCAGGTTGCACGCATCTAATCGTTGCTGTGGATTACTTCACCAAGTGGATAAAAGCTAAGCCATTATCCACAACAATGAAAGAATTTTTATTCAATTCCATATTATGCAGGTATTCTTCGGTGAGTTAAACCATATACATTGCGTGCACATATATTGTGTGGCTTAGCCAATTAGTTTTTGTACAAGTTCAGTATTCCAAAGCGAATCATCGCTGATAATGGTCCTTAGTTTTGAGCTGTAGCACTCATGTCATTTTGCGATGATTATGGCATTAAACTCTCTTTAACGTCCGTTTACACTCCACAGTCAAATGGACAAGCAGAGTTAGCTAATAAAATTGTCTTGCGTGGCCTTAAGGCACACGTCCTAGCCACACACTCCAACTGGGTTGACAAGCTTGACAAAGTGCTATGGTCGTGCCATACTACACCCAACTAGGCCACTGGAGAGACCCCATTATCCCTTGCCTACGGAGCTGAGGTCGTAATACCTATGAAGATTGGCTTGTTGCGTAAATGTTTTACTCGATGTAATGATTGGGATAACGAGCAACTCCTATCAAAAAACTTAAACCTTGTGGAAAAAGCTAAAGAAACATCTCGGATGAAAAACGTGGCTTATCAAGGTCGTATTGCTAGATTTTATCAGAAAAGGGTACGTGCTTGTCAATTTCAGGTCAATGATCTAGTTTTACGTAAGGCTAGGCTCACCAATGCCTATTCACACATGGGCAAGCTTGCTCCTAATTGGGAGGGTCCTTATATGGTTATTAAAGTTAAATGACTTGGACCTTATTTGTTAGCAAATTCACAAGGTAATCAATTACCGTTCACTTGGAATGTACATAACCTCAAGAAATATTACAGCTAGCCTATTGTCATCTACCATATTTGGGAATCGTAAACGGTATGCAAAATTCAATGAATACAGATAAATTGTAAAGTCATCTCCTAAATCATATTTCTTTCCAAAAAATTGTATATTACAATACAAGGGATAATGATAAAGTCACTGAAAAAGGTCAACTGACCAACGCAAAAAATACAAAAGAAAAGATAAATCTAAAGCTAATCATCCGTTAAATCCACTAGGGCGGATGTGTCAATGCAAACTGGCAAATAACAAGCTGGAGTAATGGCGGGCTGAGAGTTAAGAGGAGTGCTAGAAGGTTCAACTTGTAGCTCAGGTACCCCAGCCACCCAAGCGTCAAAACTCGGCAAGTCCTTTGCTTCTTTCTCGTCTTCAAGAATAGATGGAAGCCATACAAGTGTTCCATCCTCATTTAATTCCCATCTTAGCCGCATAGTAGTGTCGGCTGACGGGATGAGGCTCTTGCCTTGTTCATCGATTTCCTCTCATTAAAAAAAGGCCAACTTGCTAATAAGAAAGTCTGGTCGATGCTGTAATACCTTCTCATAGATCTCATCATAAATCTGCCTCATGGTATTCATAGAAGCAACAGCCACGACATCTTGGAACATGTCAGAGCCAACCAGCCACTCTGCTCCTTGAGCTCAGCCAACACTTAGAGTGCTGATAAGATCTCTTTACCTTATCCAAGCCTTCTTTAGCACGAGCAAGACTTTCATTTGCTGCAAGTACCCATTGTCTCAAGGAATTTAGATCGTTTAGAGCGATATTCCTCTCAACCTCTACCCTCGTGGCGCATTCCTCAACACGACCGACCTCATCCTCGGCCGCTTGAAAGCCACTTTCCCTCTTAGGTTAAGCCTTTTCCAACTCTTCCTTTAGGTCGTTCACCTTGTTTGCTAGCTTGTCAGCTTGGATCTCATTTGACGTAGCTTTGTTTGCCATTTCAGAGCTCTACAAACGGTTAACCTCATCTTCCAAGCTTGCTTTCTCAGAAGTTAACCACTTGTAGTTTTCACTCAGCTTGAGGGCCTATCCTCGTGCCCCCTACTCGCACTCAAACAAGGCAACCACGTAACTAAAAGCTTGCCACACAATCCATATTACTATTTACTGATATAAAATTTGGAAGACCTTATAACACAAATATTTGATAAAATACTTATGTCCACTAATTTCGACATGGTAGCATGACCGCCATTTTGCTGTATATAGCCCTTGGCATGTTGTTAGACCATAGGAGGAATGAAACTCTGCATAACCTGAAGCATGGCGGCGTGGCAGTCTGGTTTCATGTAAGCTGAAACCTTCTGGAAATGCAATCTTGGGACCAAAGCCAGGTGCTGATGTTGACCCAGTCTCAACACCATTGCGTGTGGGAGCAGTGAGCACAGCAGATAAACGTGCTACGGCAGGCTGAACAGGCTGAGTCCTAGAGCTCATTCTCTACTAAATAAGTGGCATGTCATCTTCAGCATCTGAATCCTCACGAGCACATCTTCGAGAATTAGAAGGTGCGGTCTCATTTCTTTACTTGGGATGAGACCTTGTCGTCGAGCTAGAACCTTGCTCTCTGTGAGATGAGCTTCAAGGTGGTAACGCAGGTCGTTCATCAAACCGCATTTGCCTCTATGAACTTCCTTCCATATGTCTTCCCCTCGATCTCTATGCCCATTCACGCTGCCTCTCCAACACGCTACTCTTTTCCCTTGCACAAACAAATGCAATAAGACTCAAATTGGCTAGCAATCACAATTTACAATAGAAATATACCTTCAGTATATAGGTTTACGACATCCACAAACCCAAACACCCCAAGCTACTCGGGGGTAACCAAGGCCTCCAGGTCTACTAATCCTTCCACCTTTACATAATCTAGTAGCCTGTTCTTCAAATCCATGTCATCTGGCACCAACGTGGGATAATTCATGTAAGTGTGGCTTGAGTGCCACTCATAGATATAGGCAATCAGCTTGTTATTTATCCTCTCCGTTCGAGTGTCATGGACAAAAATGAATTGCCTCTTCCACCTGGCCACCTTATTCCTTATATTGGTGAAGAGCATCATCTTTTCTCTCCCAAAGATATAGTACCACCTCGTCTAGGCACTACTTAATCTGCATTGGAACAGCGACCTAAAGACTACCACCTTTACAAGTATCTTCAACCTCGCACATAATAGCATAAATCCTAGGATAAGTTTTATGCTGCTGGGGGTCAGCTGCGTCAATGTTAACTCGTACTCAGCCAAAACGTCAAAAATTAGCTCAAGCAGAGAAAAACATAGACCGACGTCAAAATGGTCTACATAAACGGGTATCCATCCCATTTGTGACACTATGCACGCCCTTTCATTTTTGGTGCCAGCTCGTAATAAGATGGTTTTGAGGATCTAATATTACCTCACCATCTCTTCCAATTTTTTATATCCTTTGACAGTAGCCGTGCCATTAGCCACTTCATGATGTAGTGCCACTCTAAACCTAAATCTGGTAGGCAAATTCTGTGGTGCCTTACGGATATTGTCCAATCTGCCATTGATAGTTTTATTCTCCCAACCCTTAAAAACGGGCACATTTGCCTCCATATTTGTCATCTGGGGAGTGCTAGTACGTTCCCTCACATCCCCCCCATCATTGGGTGTCCTCTCAGAAGATGAACCTTTAGAGGGTGAGGAATGTGATGCACTAAAATCACCCTAGCAAGTGTACTAGTCACCCCAAGTAATATAATGATGAGAGAGTGTCGAACCCACGAGGATTGTGTCTAACTAAGTACCAAAATAATTAATCCAAATTTATTTGAACAACCAAATGGAAACAAACTTTAATTAAAAATAATAAAAAGAAAATAACAAATAAACCTAACCAAGATAGGAGGCACTAAGGCATTGATTTCACCATAATCAATCAATATAAATTCTGGATTAATATACTTTCAAACCAATTTATTGAGTGTTATTGCATGTGATGGCGGATTTCCCTAAATTAATTAACTAGCTTTCTCAAGTCAAGTTAATCCTTCACTGGTTTGTTAAATTAATCATATCTCTATGTAATTTTAAACAAACTAATAAGCATTAGATTCTATGGAAACCTCTAGCTTAAGAAGGGGGAGCTACTAACTCTCTTCTCTTC